GCACAGGACGGGCGGGAGACGGGGGACGATTCCCAGCGCTCGCCGACGGTCCTGGCCCCCAGAGCAGACGGGGAGCATCGTCCTGAGGGCGAGAGCTGGGAAATCCGCTGGGAAACCCCTCCTGCTCCCTCCCCCGGGCATCAGGGCGCCCGCTCCTTCCGATTAAATCATCTCGAGGTAATTGTGCCTGTCGTTGAGACAGATTAACAGACGATCTTCTGCCGCTGGAGCAGGATTGGCGGTGGCCGCCGAGCTCCCCGTCCTTCCCTCCCCCGGGCCGCGGCGGCACGGCCCGGCGGAGGATTCCCACCCGTGGCCGGCAGGAAGATGCCCGGCAGCAGCCGGGGTGCAGCGGGAGCCGCGACCCCAGGACAGCGTCTGCCGGCCCGGCAGCTGCAGCGCCCGGACATGAGGTGGGTCCCCCTCTCGCTGGGGGCTGGGAGGTCAGACCCGAGGGCCACCGGTCCTGCCGCGGCACTGGCAGGAGGCGCCGGGGGCGCGGTCCCACCCCGGGAACCGGCTGGGGATGCTCGGCAGAGGCAGAGGGACCACGCTCCGTCCCCGTCGCTGCGGGTCTCTGCTCTCTGGGTCTCATTTCCAGGCCCGTGACCTCCCGTCACATCTCCCCGCAGGGACCCGGCTGGACTCAGCCCGTCCCAAGGAGCCCGGCCAGGGGGTCTGTGTCTCTGCCCCCGGCACCCGGGGCCGCCCGCTTCTCCTCGCAGCCCATTAGAGAACCAGCAATTGTGGCCGTGGCGTGGGCCAAGCGTGGAGGGCAGCTGTGGGCCCTCACCCGGGGTTTGCCCCTGCCTCCTTCCCCGGCCTCTGCGATGCAATTATGGCCCCTAATTGGCTTAGCCATCTGGTGCCGGCTGGTAGCCACCCCGGCACGGCTCGGTGGCTGGCACGGGCACTGCCGGATGAGGGCAGCTCCGCTGCACCCTGGCCCATGGGGTTGCAGAGAGGGGCCGGAGCCCCACGCCGCCCTCCGCGTCCGAAATAACCCCCAGCTTTGTGTCCCCCGCAGCAGGACCGTGCACCCAGCCCAGGGGTGAGCCCCCACCCCGGCACCGCCATGGTGCTCCCCTGTGACCGCAACAGCATCGGCGGCAACTGGCTGGCGCCCGAGGAGACCCGGGGCCGCAGCAACTCCATCCCCCTGGCGCAGACTCCCACCGCCAAGCACATGCTGGCTTACCTGCCCCGGCCGCCCACCGACACCAGCCGGTACGGCACCTTCCCCCAGAAGGTATGGCTCGCGCCGGGGTCTCGGGCGTCCCTCGAGCAGGATGCCACTGGGCGGTCGCGGTTGCCGTAGGCGATTTCTGACCGACGGTCTCCTTTCTGCCCCGCAGCCTGAACTCCCGGCCACCGCCGGGGCTGTGGCGGCGGACGGCCGTCAGCAAGCCAGCGCTGGCACTGCCAGGAGAGGCAGCCTCATACCAAACTACCTGTCCCCACCCTGCCGCCGCGGTGGCTTCGTCTCCAGCCAGTCGTCTCCGCCCTCGAGGCATGGCAGCGTGGCCGCCCAGCACCATCTCAGCGATCTGTCCCGGTGCCCACCGGCCACCCCGCGGGAGCTGGGCACCCACTGGTACGCGCTGCAGGCGCCAAGCGTGCCCAATGTTCCCAGCTCGGCACGCAGCAAGAGCCTCACCCACAGCCCCACCGCCGCCGTCCCCGCCCCAGAGGGGCTGCCGAGCCGGTGCCGCAAGCTGCTGGAGGAGGACAGCCCCACGGTGCAGGCCAGCAAGCGGCAGCGCCAGCGCTACGTGACCAAAGTGGGCAAGTGCCAGGTCAACCTGGGCAACATCCAGGAGAAGAAGCGGTTCCTCTCGGACATCTTCACCACCATCGTGGACCTCAAGTACCGTTGGTTCCTCTTCGTCTTCATGATGTGCTACATCGTCACCTGGGTGGTCTTCGGCACCATCTACTTCTTCGACGCCTGGGTGCGGGGCGACATCAGGCACCGGGGCGATCCCGAGTGGCGGGCGTGCATCGAGAATGTGGACGACTTCATCTCAGCCCTGCTCTTCTCGGTGGAGAGCCAGCGGACCATCGGCTACGGCTCCCGGATGGTGACAGCCAACTGCGCCGAGGGCGTCATCCTGCTGATGGCGCAGTCCATCGTCGGCTCCATGATCGACGCCCTGATGGTGGGCTGCATGTTCGTCAAGATCTCACGGCCCAAGAAGCGCGCCCAGACCCTCATCTTCAGCAAGAACTGCGTCATCTCCCGCCGCGACAAGAAGCTCTGCCTGATGTTCCGGGTGGGGGACCTGCGGGAGAGCCACATGGTGGATGCCAAGATCCGGGCCAAGCTGATCAAGTCCCGGCAGACGGCCGAGGGGGAGTTCATCCCGCTGGAGCAGTCGGAGCTGAACCTGGGCTATGACACGGGGGAGGACCGGCTGTTCCTGGTGGAGCCCCAGATCATCTGCCACGTCATCAACCGCCGCAGCCCCTTCTGGGACCTGTCGGCCGAGTCGCTGCGCCGGGAGCAGTTCGAAATCATCATCATCCTCGAGGGCATCGTGGAAGCCACAGGCGAGTGGGCCGGAGGGGGTGGGGGCGGCCCAGGACGGGAGGCCCCTCATTCGGCGGCGGGGTGGGAGGCGAGG